ACATCCCCTTTCCCTCCTGGTATCGCCACTGTCACCCCTGGTCCTGAGAGGTTCCTCTGTCCTAGATTCCCTGCATTTCCCAGTTTTATTTTTTTAACCTTACTAGTCTTTTTAAAAAAAAATCATTTTGTTGGGGGCTCATACAGCTCTTACCACAATGCAACATGGATGAGTTTTAACAAATTAAAAAACCCATGTCACATCCATATTTTGAAACGATAACTGCATATATTTAATGTATGTTGTTTACACTTAAAAATATTATAAACATCTATGTCATTAATATTCTCCTGCAGTAGTGATGAACTATTTCCCCCTCATTCTCTGTTGTTGGAGACTTATTTAGGTTGCTTCCAATTTTTTTAATTATAAGAAATAGCATGGAATGGGCATCCTTGTAAAATTTTGACTCATCCTTAATTTTATGTCAAGCCTAAGAATGTAGTCAGATTTATTTACATATTAGAAAAATATTTTTGAGGTCTACATTGTGGATGTGGTAGGCAGCAGAGTTTGTGGTCTTATTCCTATTGAGTAATTGATAAGGTTGCACCAGCTTAGAGGCCCTGGGGCCTGCAGCACAGTCAGAAGAATCAAGGCAGGAAGGGGAATGCAAATATTTGAGCATCTAGAGTATTAAGAATTATCTGGGCACTGTGCACATATCACTTCAGCTACTGCTCAGAACCCAGAGGGTGATAACCATCATCGCCATTAAACAAATGAAACAAACAAATAAACCATTTCCTCCCTTCTTAAGCTTCACATTCCAGCAACAGGGCATTATATATGGTTTCTCTCATATTCCATACTTTCTCTCACACACCTTAGCATCCTACCTAAGGTCTGGCACTTGCTTGAGGAAACCTTCATTAAAAATCCCCGCTCTAATTCCAGGCTCTAACAAATACCCCCCTCTGGGCTTCCCAGCCCTACTTTCCCTCTCTTACTGATCCCCATGTCTACCTCCCCCACAGTACACCATGAGCTCCTTGAGGACAACATCTCTCTCTGTGACCCAAGTTCCTAGCACAAGGCCTGAAAGTTTTCGTAAATGCTGAATGCATAAATTCAAACAGGTTAGGTTTCTCAGGGTCACACATGGAATAAGTGAAGAAGCAGAAGGTCAAATTTAGGTCTATCCAACTCCAAAATACCCACCCTTTACCACTCCAATTGCATTTCGTTGGCCTGCCTAACCCAACATCTCTCTTTTCCCTCAACCCCCACCCAAAGGACTGAGGAAGAGAAGAAAGACTGGGTCCAGGTAACATCTAAAAGGCTTTGTGGTAGGGGACTGGAAAGGTATTGTTAGTTCTCCTAGGGGTTGGTGGGCTGTCCCAAATACTTACATCTCGTTAGAATGGGCCTGGACATCTACCTTCAAACTTTACCATCCCTATTTTCTAGACAAGCAGGAAGGCCTTTTAAGGTTTTTCAACCATCACCCTCATTTCACAAATGTGAAAACTGAGACCTAGATTTGGGAAGAAACTTGTTCAAGGTCATATACCAAGCAGGGGTGGAGCTGGGCCTTGAACCCAACTTTTCTGATTCCAAGCCGGGGCATAGGAGGGTGAGGTGAGGGTAGAAATGGGGTAGGTTGTAGGATGATCTTATCTCTCATTTCTTATACCTCCCCAGGCCATCAACTCTACTCTCCTGAAGCATGAACAGACTCTGGAGACCTTTAAACTGTTGAACTCAACAAACAGGGAAGATGAAGACACCCCTCCCAATTCTCCAGTAAGAAGCCCCTCTACCGCACTGGAGCCCTTTTCAGGCCTCTTAAGTTCCCACCTTAAAATGCCCTTTTCAGAGAGTAAAGACCAGAGAGGAAATGAATGCAAGACTTCAGAATTGTAGTCTTCTGTTGATAGGGCCACAGAGAAATCACTGGGGAAACCAAAGTCCAAAGTAGAAGTCACTTGTTTTCAGTAACCCAGTGAGCAAGAGGCAGTTATCGTAAATGTCTGCTGCTCCTCATAATGACCCATGCTTTAGGGCAGAGTCAAGGGCTTGCTGGACTGGGCTAGGGTGTAGCCATCTCTAACTTGGGACCTGGTCCTCCCTTTAGAACGTGGATCTTGGAAAACGGGCACCTACGCCCATCCGGGAAAAGGAAGTCACCATGTGCATGCGCTGCCAGGAGCCCTTCAATTCCATCACCAAACGCAGGCACCACTGCAAGGCCTGTGGGCATGTGAGTGTTGGGAGGCAGGGGTAGAGTTGGGGAGGAGATAGGCTGGCAGTTGAAAGACCCACTTCTCAGTGGGCACCCTCCAAGTGGGGGTAGACTGCAAGTTGTGGGAGATGTTACACTTTAGGGGAAGGCTTGCTGGAATCAGGCTGCTCTTGCCCACCTGCCACCCCAGGTGGTTTGTGGGAAGTGCTCCGAGTTCCGGGCCCGCCTCATCTATGACAACAACCGCTCCAACCGTGTGTGCACCGACTGCTACGTGGCCTTGCATGGGGTGCCCGGGAGCAACCCCGCCTGCAGCCAGCATACACCTCAGCGTCGGAGGTCCATCCTTGAGGTAAGAGCGAGGCCCCCAGCTAATCCTCCATAAGAACCCCGTGGGCCCCAGCCACCTACCCAATGACTAAAGGCACCAAGACTGGACATGTAACCCAGACACAGAATATGTAAAATGAGTTTAAGAATGACAGTAATTTTTTTTTAAGTTTATGAGTGGGCTTCAAATAATTCATGGGGAAAATTAAAAGGTAATGGAATTTTTTAACAAAGTTTTTGAAGCTCCCTCATACTATTTCATATACCTATGTTATTGCTATTCCTATTTTCCCCATGAGGAAACTGAGACCCAGGAAGGTTATCTGCCTAAATTATACAGGCAGTAAGTGGTAGAGCTGGAATTTTTAAAACTTAGACAATACAAACAAAATAAATGCACAGTGGTTCCAAAAAGTTCAGATCTTCATTATCTTTTTTTAAAAAGAAGTTGTTTTCAGTGAAAGTTTACACAGTAGATTAGGTTTTCATTTAACAATTTCTATACAACTTATTCAATGACTTTTTGGAGCCAAGAGAAAGCAGAAAATAGTAACAGAATGGATTAAAAGGGAAAGCACCATGAGAAGATTTTAAATTTTAACCTAACTATATCTGCAATAATTCACTTTCTGATGTACTCTGTGGGCAGGGCTTTTCACATCCCTGGGTAGAATTCCAGTATTTTTAAATGTTATTCTTCCACAAACTTTTTGAAACCCCTTAGTATACCCCTGCTCCCCCTGCCCAGTATCAGTTATACTTACCTTTCCTATTGCTTGTGCAGGTACACACCTGCACTTAAAAAAAAAAGCGTGCCAGGCACTATTCTAAGTGCTTTCCAGAGAAGTATAGTAATCCATTTTATCCTTACTACAATCTCCTTCCAAGTCAACACATTTTCATCTAGAGCAGCAGTTCTCAACCTGTGGGTCATGACCCCTTTGGGGGTTGAACGACCCTTTCACAGGGGTTACCCAATTCATAACAATAGCAAAATTAGTTATGAAGTAACAACGAAAATCATTTTCTGGTTGGGGGGGGTCACCACAACACGAGGAACTGTATTAAAGGGTCACGGCATTAGGAAGGTTGAGAACCACTGAAGCATCTAGAGCAAGAATTCTACGTCAGTTTCCTTAAACACTCACTCATTTCCATAACCACAATGCTATATTGCCTTGTGGGATGGAGGACAAAAAGGTGAGGTATTTTTTGTTCTATCCAAAGACTAAATTGACTGACTGAAGAATGTCTGACTAGGCATTTAGAGCTCTCTACACTTTCCACCAACACTTAAGAGGTAACAGCCAGCGCCTGAAAGTCAGGCAGATAAGCGTGGTATTGAATTCTGTCTCTGACACACTGGGTGTAATTGGGCCACCTGAACTTCAGTGTTCTCATTTGAGCTATGGGAACAGCACTGAGGATAGTGAGGATGGTACAGGACTAGGTGGTTTAATTCTGTTGTACATGTGGCCACTGAGAACCAACTCATTAGCACCTAACACTAGGGCAGTGGTTCCCAACCTTCCTAATACCGCGACCCTTTCATACAGTTCATGTTGTGGTGACCCCCCAACCATAAAATCATTTCCGTTGCTACTTCATAACTGTAATCTTGCTACTGTTATGAATTGGGTGAGCCATGTGAAAGGGTCATTCTACCCCCAAAGGGGCTATGACCCACAGGATAAGAACCATGGGGTTTTGAAGCCAAAGGGAACCAGGGTAGGTCTCTGTAAACATTGATATCCCCATGTCTCTGGCCACAGAAACAGGCTTCAGTGGCTGCTGAGAACAGCATTATCTGCAGCTTCCTGCACTACATGGAGAAGGGTGGAAAAGGCTGGCACAAGGCATGGTTCGTGGTTCCTGAGAATGAACCCTTGGTGCTGTATATCTACGGAGCCCCTCAGGTGTGCATTTTACTGCTTCAGGTCCTTTCAGCCACCTGGCAAAGCCAAGCTGTCTCCCTTCTGTATGTAGTCTTCCACCACTCCTTGGCCTTGGGACTAAGTCTGAGTCTAACCTGATCTAAAGGAAATTCAAAATCCTCATCCTTGTAAGATAGTAGCTACAATAAAGAGTGATTATGGGCCAGGGTATGTAGGGGAAATTGGGGCTAGTGGGGAGAGCTGGCTTCCTGAAGGAAACAGGAATGGAGATGGGGCCCTTGACTGCTGGGTTCAATTTGGAGTGAGGAAGAGCATGCAGTTGGAGCAATAGCCGAGAACAGGGGTCAGCAAATTTTTGAGATGGAAGAATCAATTCTATCCCTCACAATTTAAAAATGATTCAAGAGCCATAAATATATATTTACAAATGAAATCGCCATTATCTAAATACTAGCCTTAAAAAAAAGTTTTGCTTAAGAGCCACTTGTATATACAGAAAGAGCTGCATTCAGCTCACAAGCTGCAGTTTGCAGACCCCTGGCCTAGACAGAGGCTTGAAAACATCTAGTCTCTGCTGGAGACTAGCCAATTGGGTGGGAGGTGGAAGGAAATGAGTGTTTGAGCCAGGAGCCCTGGTAGCACTATTTGGTGTTGGGCTGTTAACCACAAGGTTGTTTGTTCAAACCCACCACCTGCTCTGTGGGAAACTGCTAAGGCTCAGTCTCAGAACTCTGTCATAAAGTCGATATCAACTTATAGGCTAAATGGGCTGCAGTTGACAGCGGGTTGGGTTTCGTGGTCTAGACCTAGTTCATTTTCCTATTGATATTGGTGGAGTCACAGCAAGTTCTTGGTCAGGGGAAGGAAAAAAGGGAGCAAATGCTAAGGCAGTTAGGAGCTAAGGCAGAGGGTGACCCCAAATTGATCCCAGCTGTCCCTGCTCCCCAGGATGTGAAAGCCCAGCGCAGTCTGCCCCTCATTGGATTTGAAGTGGGGCCTCCTGAAGCCGGGGAGCGCCCTGACAGACGCCACGTCTTCAAGATCACTCAGAGCCACCTGAGCTGGTACTTCAGCCCTGAGACCGAGGAGCTACAGCGGCGTTGGATGGCTGTGCTTGGCCGGGCAGGCCGTGGGGACACATTCTGCCCAGGGCCCACACTGTCTGAAAACAGGGAAATAGTGGCAGCTTCAGGAGCTACTGTTGAACCCCCTGCTGTTTCCCAAACCGGAGATAAGATCTAAAGGGTTTGGGGATTCCTGGGGATTCCCCTGTACTATACTATTTGCCTATATCCAATTAGGGGTTTTAGCCACCTCCATCCCAGCTCAGTCAATACTTGAACTCCCAACACCGGCACTTTCAATCCTGAATGCTGGGTCTTGGATTTTTTAATTCATCTTTTCACAAAATGTGGGCTTAAAGGAAAAAAAAAAACACAACCCTGTTACTATAATGATAGTAATTTTTATATCTTCACAGTGGGAACTATTGCCAGATCAGCCTGAATTTGGCCATAATGTGCCCCATTCACAGAATCCTACAGATTCTATATCCATCAGTTCCTCCCAAAGCACCAGAGGCAGGAGATTCAAGTGCCAGCTCTGCCACTGACTTGTGGCCAGCGTCTTCACATATGACTCAGTGTGAGGTGGGAACTGAGCCCCTCCCACCACCCAGCTTCGAGGCTGGGTCCAGTATTTTATCATTTAGACCCATGGCAGGGCCACTGGGCAGGACAGGGGAATGGAGGGTGTGAAGGACAATGGATATTGTTTGTTTTGTTTCTAAAGAAAAATACAGTTTATTTCAGGCTTACAGAAACTTCCAGAGCATTTCTATGCTCCTTTCGTCCATCTATTTATTTGTTCAAAGCACCAAGGTGCTGTGGTGGGCCCAGAAAATGTACTCCTGTTGAGTGCTAAAGCCCAGCCTCCAGAAGGCTGATTCTTGATTTCACAGGATGAGTCAAGTCACAAATTAAACATTAAGGTATTTATTAAATTCTTAAGTCTCATCCCTAAACTTAATCGGGATGGGATGAAGAGTGGGGAGAGGGGTTGGAGAAGACCGAAGACAAAGGCCACCTCTCCTAAGCTCACCACCTAGCCAGTCTTCGAATTCCCGAGGGAACCAGGGTTAGAGGATAAGCAGCAGAAAGGAAGTCTTGTTCTTGAGAAGTTCCAAGTTCTGGGCAGAGCATACCATGATTAAAGGTATGTGTTACTTAATGTCCATATGTTCTATAAAATAGGATGCTATGTGATTTGGTGGGCTCAAACATAAGTGCAATTGTGAGAATGGCACAAGGCTGGGTGGTGTTTCATTCCGTTGTACACAGGCCCACTATGAGTCTGAACTGACTCTACGACACCTAACTACAACAAAAACATGTGAACTGGATACTGTGCAAAACCCATATTTATACTTTATGGGAGACTGCTTCCAGTTGTCCTTGTTGCTCCTGCTGCTGCTGGAGGCAGTAGGAGGCGAGGGGGGCCAGGTGAAGCAAGCAGAGTGGAAGTGAGTAGAGCACACCCAATCCCATCTGTTGTTCTACCAGACTGAGCAGCAAGAACAGCCCTCTGTGCCTGCCTGCTGCCTGCCAGACAATGCTCAAAAGCCCACCCCCAGAACTTTGTCCTCTACCTATATCTCACCTGTGGTCCAGTACTGCAAAAGTCTGGGTTTAGAGTCTTTAAAACCATTAGGGGAAAATAAACAAAAGGAGAGCTGTTTGCCCTTTAAAACAAAACACCTTATAGAACCACAGATGTGTGGCCAGATATGGCACCAATAGACATTAAGCACTGTATACCTGTTTTTTTATTTACATCTTCAATTATCTCTATGTTCATCTCGCCATTCCTGACTGAGCCAGCCCCCTAGCACTGGGTGCTAGTTCTCCTCATGGTCCTGTACCTTCACAAATCCACCTACCCAGTCAACCAGTGTCCAGTTGCTCCTCCATCCATACTTACTCATCTTTTTCTTCTACAATGATTGTACCCAACAAGCAGTGTGCTGCAAACCTGGCCTCTTCCCTCAGGTAGCAATTTTTAAGACCCAGGGGAGTACAATGGGCCAGGTCCATTTTCTTCCTATGGAGGAAACTAGGCAGGGAAGTAGGTGAGTGAGGAGGTGGCATATCCAGTCAAGAGATGTGCAATCTCCAGAAAAGCCCCTTAAAACTAGTCTCAAGGGCCCAAACCATTTCAGCTCCACTCATTTCTTTCTCCGGACAATGGTCCAGCCATCCTCCACTATATCCTCTTCCTGAATAGTCTTGGGCGAGTCTGGGTCAGAAGGTTCAGGCTGAGAGCAGATCCCAGCTGTAGCTGCCGCATCATTTGTAGCTGTGACCTGGAGGAAAAATACAAGACAGAGCTAAATATGACACATTGCAGCCAAGGCCACTGAAGACTGAGGCTCTACTTCTAGGTTTGCTAAGATTGACTTTGTGACCTTGGGGAAGTATCCTGCTCTTTCTGAATAATACCACACCATCAGCCCCCTCATTACTTCTCTAAGAAATCAGCTGATCTCCCCAAGGGGCACCTCTTCACCTCCATCTCTTCTGTGCTGTCTGCACCATCTTCATCCATTTCTCTGGCTGTTGTAAGTGCAGTGGCTGTGATCCTGTTCTTTCTTTGGGTGATGTAAGAGGCCATTTCCCTCAGAGCAGCGCCATCACCCCTCTGGAAATGGTGAAACATGGTCTGCAGCTGCTGGCTTACCTACCAAGAAAACACTCAACCAGCTCGAATTTTCCAGAGAACCTACTATACGTTAGCTCATGGTTACATAGAGAGTGCAGAGGGTGTTGGGACTGTCCAGAGCAGTGGTTCTCAACCTTCCTAATGCCGCAACCCTTCAATACAGTTCTTCATGTTGTGGTGACCCCCAACCATAATAATATTTTCATTACTACTTCATAACTATAATTTTGCTACTGTTATGAATCATAATGTAAATATCTGATATGCAGGATGTATTAGGTAACCTCTGTGAAAGGGTCGTTTGACCTACAAAGGGGTCGAAACCCACAGGTTGAGAACCACTGGTCCAGAGAATAGGGCTCTACCATTCCCAATTAGTTTGTAAATAAAGCAACCACACATTAAGGACCCAGGTGAAGCTCTCCTAGCAGGAAGGCACTAGAACTGGGCTTTGAAAGATAACATATAAAAAGGCAAGCAATCCAGAGAGGAGAGGGGGAGGGATGGAAACTAAAACATGCGGAGAAATATACGTGGCCTGGCCTGCCCTTGGCATGGGGGAGAGGTACAGGCCTATCTGGGTATGATGTCTCCACAGAAATAAAGGGGGAGCAACAGAGCTTGGAAAGACCTGGGAAGATCTCTTTCCTCTAGGTCAATGTTTCCCAACATGGGAGGTGTTGGAATGATCAGAGGGGAAGGAGGGGGAAGCAGCAGTTGCAAAAGCAGATAACTACACTTTACCATGGATTATGGGCTATAGTACAAAAAAATTTAATTACCGGAGGTTGGGGGAGGGATGCTACCTTTTTTTCCTGAAAGGGGGGCAGTTGATCACCTAAATTTGGGAACCTATGTTCTAGGCATTAAGGAGTCATAGAGGGTTCTTGTGCAGGCTTAAAAAAGAATAATGGTTATGGCCAGGAATACTGGCCCAAGACAAGAGTGTTAGGGAGAGAAAAGACTGCAAGCAGTTATGCTCACAATAAGCTCACCTGGGGCAGACTCCCATCCTCCACAACTGTATCAAACTCGTTGGTCATGAGCTCCCCAAGGAAGTCCTCCACCTCATCTAGCTCCAAGTCAGCTAAGTAGGAAAGGATAGTGCCCTTTGGTCAAAAACAAGCCAATCGTCACCCCTATCCATATTCCTCAATACTTACTTGCTGGGCCCGCATCTGATTGGTGGGGAAACGTCCAACTAGCAAGCCTTTTATTCACATAAGTGAATAAAATGAAGATCTTAGCATGATTAAGAAAAAAACTCTGAATATTTAATTTCCCATGTCCTATATCCTACATACTATTAAGCCTTCTATTTCCTAGATCCTAACCTTTAGTCCCTTTGTTTACCCTCACTTGGGGTGCTTAGATGACTGTGACCAAGTTATTTACTCTTTACTTAGCCTCAGTTTTCTCATCTGTAAGATGGGGCAAATAGTGGTCTCCTTGAAGGTATGTCAGTAAGTTATTATCCAAAACAATGCCTGGCATAGAGGAGATCCATAATCCATGTTAATTACCATCATTCAAGGACTGAAAGTTTTAAAGAAGAGACTTTTCACAACTGGTGCCATTGACATAGGAGGCCACAGATCAGTGGTGCAAGAAATGAGTACTTGCAATTTTAACGAAATTAAATTGTCATAGCCTTGACATCAAAATCCTATTGTGTGGCCTTGGCTAAGTCCTCCTCTCTGGGCTTAAGTTTCCTAAAAGGCTCAGGTCAAACCCTCTACTTTTCTAAATTTCTCTACTTAAGACTTTCACAAAGCTCACCCTCTCTTCATTCTGCATACTTTCCCTGAGGGAGTTCATTCACGTTCTTGGCTTTTCCTATTATCCTATCCTGTTCTTTTTGTGGTATGTTGGTTTTGAGTCAATTGCAACTCATGGCAGTGCAGAGTAGAGCTGCTCTAAATAGTATTTTGATTTTCAAGGCTGTGACAAGGTAGCAAATTGCCAGGACTGTCTTTTAAGACACTTCTGGGTAGGTTCAAACCACCAAAATTTTGGCTAGTGATGAAGCATTTGTTTGTTTGCACGACCTAGGGACTCATCACTCTATCCTAATATCCCACTAAATCTGTTTCCAACTCTGACTACCCCTTGCACAGATGTTTTACAGGTCCTTTAACCAACTAGGGGAGTCGTGGTGGCGCATTGCTTAAGAGTTGGGCAGCTACCTGCAGTTGGACAGCCACCAGCAGCTCCATGGGAGAAAGACAGGGCTTTCTACTCCTGTAAAGAGCTACAGTCTCAAACACATGGGCAGTTCTACCCCATCCTATAGAGCCGCCATGAGTCTGCAAAGACTCAATGGCAGTGAGTTTGGTTTGGTTTGTAACCTACTGGGAGTTGTACCAGTGGCATAGTGGGTTACATGTTGGGCTGCTACAATGGTGTGAATTTGGTTTGGGGGGGGGATTTAACCTTCTGCCATCAAGTCAATTCCAATACATAGTGGCCCTATGGGACATAGAATTACTCCCTAGGGTTTCCAAGGCTGCAAATACTTTATGGAAGTAGACTGCCACATCTTGCTCCTATGGAGACAGAGCTGAGTTTGAACTGATGACCCTTTGGTTAACAGCCAAACACTTAATCACTGCACCACCAGGGCTCCTCCATATTCCAAAGCCAGACTCATCACAAACCTAATTCTAATTCTCCAGGGTTCCTCTACTCCATGATTTTCTTTGCTGCCATTGAGTCCCATTCTGACTCATGGACTAGAACTGCTCCATAAGGTTTTGCCTTTTGTGGGGGAGGGAAGTGATCTTAATGGAAACAGATTGCCAAGCTGTTTCCTCTATGGTCCCACTAAGTCGGTTCAAATCATCGACCTTTTAGTTAGCAGTTTGCGCCACCTAGGGACCTTCCTCTACTGCATGAAAGACATAATTCTTTCAGCAAGTCAAACCAGAAGACTGCCTTTTCCTCTTCTTCCCATCTTTTTCCACTCCATGAAAAAAAGATGAGGCTTTCTACTCTGGTAAAAAATTAGTCTTAAAAAAAAAAAAAAGAATTACAGTATTGGAAACTTATAAGGGCACTTCTACTCTGCCCTACAGTGTCACTACGAGTCAGATTTCACTATGGCAATGAGTTTGATTTGTTGGTCTCTAGCCAACCAACCTCCCAAAACCTAATCCATCTCTTCTTTACTATTGCCCCAGTCCAGGCCTCCTCATTTTCTAAACAGAAATAGCCTTCTCATCAGTCTTTCCCCCTCCAGTCCTTGCTCCATACTGATTACTTTTAGATCTTTCTGGCGAGTCAACATCATCCTATTTACTCACCTTAGAACCTGTCTATAAATTTTTAACCCATACTTCAGTGTTTCACAGTCTACATATTTCTTAAAAATATCTGTTCTGCTGGGGGTCACTATGAGTCAGAATCAATCAGATGGCTATGGATTTGGTTTGGGTTTTGGTACCCTTATCCAAGGAGTCCCTGGCTAGTACAGTTTTGTTAAGCACTCAACCACTAACCAAAAAGTTGACAGTTTGAGCCTATTCAGAGGCACCTTGGAAGTAGGGCCCGGAGATCTATTTCTGAAAGGTCATAGCTTTGAAAATCTTACGGTGTGCTGTTCTACTCTGCACATCTTGGTTACCATGGGTCAGAATCTATTATACAGAAACTAGTTCTCCTTATCCAAGGACTCCCTGGATGGCTCTGCTGCTTACCAAAAGGTTGTTGGAGGTCGGAGTCAACCCAGAGGTACTTCAGAAGAAAATCCTGGCAATCTACTTACAGAAAGAGAGCCATTTTAAACCCCTATGGAGCACAGCCAGGATCAAGTTATTGGTAACGGATCATCCTTATCCAAGGATATCCAAACTTAATATGCTAATGAATTTTGATACTATGTGGTAGCAAAAGAAAAATACTTTTCTTATTCCATGCCATGCATTTTAGCAAACACTGGCCTAAAGAAAAAATTAAAGGCACATAAGGTCTTCCATATTTTAGTCTTTTTTCCTCTAGGGTATTGGAGGGGGGGTGCTCCCTATTTCAGAGCTTCATTTCCCACAGCTCTTTATTCTTTACACACACAGCCTCACTCCAATGAGGTTCCTGCCATTTTCCATATATCACACAAACAAAACACAACTCACTGCCATCAAGTGGATTCTCATAGTGACCTTACAGAACAGACAGAGTAGAATTGTCCCAGTGAGTTTCTGAAACTAAGTTTATACTGAGTAGAAATCCTCATCTTGTTCCTGCAGAGCAATTGGTGATTTCGAACTACTGAGCTTGTGGTTAGCAACCCAACACGAAACCTACTGTACCACCAGGACTGTGCTAATATTGCTCTCTGCACCTAGTTAATAATGCCTTCTCATCCTTTACAACTCAGTCCAATCACCACTTTCCCTGAAAATCCTGCTCTTATTTTCACAATTCTGAGCCCCCTGAATTTTCTTCAGAGAAACGACTTTACCCAATGTCAATTTCACTTCCAAGGCTCGAAAATGAAAGAAGAATTTTGCAAAACCCATACTATGCAACAAGTCTTGTGCTGGGCCCCTTATTCCCTTGCTGACTGACCTTTAAGAGAAACCTATGGCGTCAATCTTCCCTATCCCATGGGGGAGGGAGGACTCCTTATCCCCACGCCTTAGCACACTTAACATTCACTCACCATTGCGGATGAAATACTCTTCCATTGCACCCCCCAGCCATTCGGCCTTCTCCTGGCTGTGCACGCCCCCGAAACCATTCTCCACAGCGATCTGCAAACAAAGGCACGAGCCCAACACGTCAGTGTATGTGCCGGCCTAGAGTGAGGTCGGGTTCCTTGCTTATGTCGTCCCACCAAGCCATGCCTGGACTACTCATACTCTTCTCCAGGTTCTAAGCTTATCCCAGCCTCGGCCCCACTCACCTGTAAGGCCGGCCAGGCTTCCAACGCCGCGCGAACGCCCGCTCCAAAGAGCGCCCGCGAATCTTCTCTAGCACCCGCCATTACCAGATCGCGAGTCACGTGACGGGCCAGCCGCCCAATCCTTCCTCAGCAACCACCCAGCAAAAAAAAAAAAAAAAGAGCCAGAGACTGATCTGAAAATAGGTATGCTTTTTGCTGACCTAGTAGCAAGGCTAGAGCAATAGAAAAGTATCAGTACGATCGATGACAACACTACAAACAAAAACCCACCCCCTTGATTGTTCTGCAGGGCTTTGCAATGACCCTCATACTCACAGTAAACAGCCCTGGTGGTCCAATGGATTACGCGTTGGGCTGCAAACCGCAAGGTTAGCAGTTCGGAGCCACCAGCCGCTCTGTATTCCGCTTTCAAAAGGCTGAGTCACCTGACGTTCAAACCCCCGCTAGGGGTCTAAGGTGGAGAGTGCCCTACTTCTAGTGAACCACTAACTTCCTAAGAAAGTAGGCGCCACACCTTCAGTGGATACTGTCCCAATATTTAGTCTCCTCCCTGTATTTCCAATTGTATTAAGTGCTGGCATGCTACTCTGAGAAGTTACTACGAGACAGAAAACTCAGCTCCCTCAGAAGCCTGAAAACAGAAGACAGAAAACTGAAGACAGAAAACTCAGCTCCCTCAGCTCCTTTGCCTGGCAAAAAAGGAATGTGGACTGGTCTCCAGTTAGGCCTCCTGTACCAGAGACAAACCATATAAGCACTGTCAGAAGGAATTTCCTTCTGACCTTCAGTATGGCCAATCCCAAAGGACTGATTTCCAAGGGAGCACTTCCTTGCAAAGGAACCTTGGCAGGCATAGTGGTTACGAGCTGGGCTGCTAACTGCAAGATCAGCTATTCTTCTACTACTGTAAAACACTCAGGGACAGTTCTACCCTACCCTATAGGATCACCATGACGTGGCATCAACTTGATGGCAGTGACAATGTTCTCTCCTAGATAAGGGTATTCACATCCCTTGAGTACAATCAGAGGTTTAATCCATGTGTGGACCCTACAAATGGATCTTGAGCATCTACTGTCATCCATAGCCTTCTGCAAACCAGGTGTTCACATAAGCTCTGGCACCATTCCTTCCTTTGAATTTAGATTTTATTATTTATAATCCTTGGACCGCACAGAAAGGTGTGCTTCTTCCATGTAGACTTAGTCGACATCTCATTTAGATGGCTGAATGTGTAAGACCCCAGGCACTAATTTTTCTGATAGCTGGCACCATCTACGGAATTTTTTTTTTGCCACACTGCTATAACACCCATTTCTCCAGTGATCTCTTCATGATGGTGAGATTCAAACAGGACCATGCCATAAGAGCTAATTGTTCTTAGATTGGAGCTAGAAGTAAGTGGGAGCCCAATTCTATTCATATATCTATTGTTTATGTCTCTGGTTCACCTTAGAGACATTATTGTCAATTTATGTTAGAGAACAGTATCAATCATCTCCCTGGAGCACAAGTTGATTCTCTTGATAGTGTTGTTAAATTATCCAATGGTATAGAATTTAAAATACTGTTGAGAAAAGAAATTTATACAAGTATAGGACAGCTATGAATCGCAATACATGAATTGTTGACTTGTACAGATTAAACTCTTAAGTGACTGGACAAATTCACACAAACAATGGGAGTCAGTAATAGAGCAAACTTTCAATAATATACATTTACCAAGGTAGAACTATGCCTACCAAATTAATATTTCATAATAAAGCAAAGAAGGTAATAAAATAGTATGTATAGAGTAGCCCCAGGTACCATTCATTAGACATCTGTGGTAGTTACATAATTTCATGTCAACTTGAAGATATATAAAAGAGTTGGGGTGGAGATCAGCCTGTCAATCAGGTCACAACCTAATGGTGATTCATTATGGACATGGCCTTCTGTATAAGGAGGGCCCTGGGGGTGGGTGTTGGGGGGAGGGCAGGGGGAAGGGAAAAAAAGGAGGGCTCTAGGGAACTCTCCTTCTCTCTCTCCCTTCACCTTCTGGCTGGTGGACCCTGGTTCCCACTGGAGCCTTGGAGATGTCACCACTGCAATTGGATCCACACAACTTTGCACCCACCAGTCTGTGATATTCCTGGATTCTGCATCATTGCATGTGACTGCGTGAGTTTGAAGAGGGACATATGGGCTAGTATTGGACTTATGGACTTAGTTGAAATGGGATGGGATGTTTTCTCAATATATCATTTTTCTTGATATAAAGCTCTTTCTTATACATACATGGGGTCTCTGTATTTGTTTCTCTAGTCAACCTGGCCTAACACAACATCCTCAAGGCAAGAGATCCAAAACAAAGTCCAATGACTGCCAGTTCTACGCCCTTGGGGTAGCAGTCATCTTCTTCTCACACTAAGGAATACAGGTGAGTGTGAGGTAAAGCCCAGTTCATTTAGTGGGGTTTCCACATTGAGTCTTTCCAGTGTAGCCTATGAAAGATGCTGTGAACCTTGGAAGAACAGAGTCTAAAGTCCCAGTAGTCTATAGCACATGGCCTGGATTACCAAAGCCTAGATAGAAACTAGTTCAAAATGTCGATTAGGAATACAATACCAGGCATATTCTCCCCCTGAGTTCTTTATAAATATTGTTAAATGGTTTTCTTTTTCAAATGAGAGGTTACTCCTCCTCGTTTTCTTACCAGCAAAATGTAATCATATTCACCAAGACATACATGTCCCCCTCCCCCATCTTCATTAAAATTTCCAGTAAGATTCACTTCTTACTCTGTTGATCCAGTATAACCTTAGCTCAATTTTGTATGACAACCAATGAATAATATTCTATCTCCCTCACCCCATTTTAAAAATTGGCTACACCTGAGATGAGATCTCCTCAATAGAAGTGGCTTTTTAAAAATCATTTTATTGGGGGCTCATACAACTCTTATCATAATCCATCCATCCATTGTATAAAACACATTTGTACATTCATTACCCTCATCATTCTCAAAACATTTGCTCTCCACTTAAGCCCCTGGCATCAGCTCCTCAATTTTCCGCACCCTCCCCGCTCCCCTTCCCTCATGAACCCTTGATAATTGATAAATTATTATTTTGTCATATCTTACACTGTCTGGCGTCTCCCTTCACCCACTTTTCTGTTGTCCGATGCTCAGGGAGGAGGTTATATGTAGATCCTTGTAATTGGTTCCCCCTGTATACCCCACCTTCCCTCCACCCTCCCTCCACCCTCCCAGTATCGCCACTCTCACCACTGGTCCTGAAGGGGCCATCTGTCCTGGATTCCCTGTGTTACCAGTTCTTATCTGTACCAGTGTACATCCTCCGCTTGAGTCAGATTTGTAGTTAGAAGGTTACATGAGCTAGGAGCAGAAACCTGCCTTCATCTTGGTGTTTATTTTTATAGTAGTGAACTCATTATATTTGCCCTTTTGTGATTGACTAACTTCACTCGGTATGATGGATTCCAGGTCCCTCCATGTCATGGAGAACACTGCTTTTTAGGGATGTGGACTATCCATTTTGTGTATGTACCAGGGTTTCTTTATCCAATCTTCTACTGATGGGCATTTGGGCTTTTACCAGCTTCTTGCTTTTGTGAACTATGCTGCATTGAACATATGAGCACATATGTCTGTTCATGTTCTGCCTTTTATTTCTCTGGGCTATATGCCCAGCAAAGGTATTGCTGGGCTGTATGGTATTTCTATTGCCAGTTGATTTAGGTATCATTATATTGTGTTCCACAGTGATTTTACATATTCACAAGCCCACCAGCAGTGTATCAGACTTCTGATCTCTCTGGACCATGTTCAGCATATGTTGTTTTCTGGTTTTTAAATTGGGCTACTGTTGTGAGTGTAAGACGATATTTTTATTTGATTTGAATCTCCCTTTGTTTTGCTTCTCCTGGATGACTAGAGTGTGAGCACTCCCTAATGTGTTTGTTAGCCACTAAAGTGTAGTCCTTTGTGAATTGTCTATTCATGTCCCTTGCCACCTTTAATTGGATTATTTGTTTATTTTCATATTGAGATGTTTCAGAATTTTATAAATTTTTAGTAATTAGTAATTTTTCTGCTATATAATTGCTAAATATTTTTTTTCCAATCTGTGGGCTCTCATTTTAGTCTTTTGATGAAGTCTTCCTGTATACAAGTATTTTATTTTTAAGAAGTTTCAGTCATATACTTTTTCTTCCAGTGTGTGTTCTTCCTTCATTATAGTTGTTAGCCTATGCATGACCTGCAATAAGATCCTAACGTTTGTGCTAATTTTCTCATTGATGATCGTCATAGTTATAGAATTTACATTTAAGTCTTTAATATAGCTTGAGTTTGATTTTGTGCATGGGGTGAGGTATGGGTTCTGTTTCATTATGCTACATTCTTCCCATTTTTCCAGCACCATTTGTTGAAGAGGATGTCCCTTTCCCACTTAATGTTTTTTAGTCCATTGTTGAAAATAGATGGAGGTGTACGTCTGGATTTCCTATCTTGTTTCATTGGACTATGCATCTATCATTATACTAGTGCTAGGCTGTTTTGATTTCTGTGGCTGTGTAATAAGTTTAGGCAGGGCAAGACCTCCAACTTTGTTCTTTTTGAGAAGGTCTCCCTTTGTTTCTTGTAGTAATGTTCTGTAGCTTTCTTTGTACAGGACTTTTGTTTCTTTGGTTAAACATATTCCTGGGTATTTCATCTTTTGTGTGGCTATTGTAAATGTTATTATTTTCTTGATGGCTTTTTCAGAGCTCCTTTTGCCGGTATATAGAATCAGATTGATTGCTGCATGTTAATCTTGTATCCTGCTACTTTAAGATAACCTTCAATTGTTTCCAACAGTGTTTTTGTGAGTCCTTGAGCTTCTTTATAAAATCACATCATTGGCAAATACCAAGAGCTTCCCGTCTTCTTTGCCCAATTGTATTTCCTTGGTTTTTGTTGTTGTCTAGCTAAGGCTTTCAGAATAATGTTGAATAAGAGTGGTGATAAGGGGCACGCTTATGTAGTTCCAGATTTCAGGGAAATGTTTTCAGTTTTTTTTCTACTGAAGGTGATA